AGTCCATGTTTGACACTTCTTTCAAAATCTGTTTTCTCAAAATGATTTGTCGGATTTGGACTCTTTGATTCAGATTTAGAACCGTGACAATTTGAGTCCGAACTGTAGCATGAGGCCCACGGGCACGTCTACACCCATTCATTAATATATTAGCCAAACAGTAAGCACAAGTGGGACTAAATTATCATACAAAAATGGCTCCGCAAGGGAGGCAATGAAGCAAGTGGTAGATGCAAAGCCCAAACAGAAAAAGACTCTTCTACAACACTGAAGAGGGACCAAAAATATGACTACTTACAGTTTATGGAAACCCCCAAAACAATATACAAGTATGCTCAAAATGCCATGCAAGATAGGGCCCAAAAGAGGTCAAAACACAAAGTATACAAAACATTCATCAAACAGCCAAAGACCCTTAATGAAACATGAATATGGGATCAAAATAAAACTATTTTCAGTTCTGTAAATCGTCCAAAAATGGAAGCAAGATAGGCCAACAAATCATGCGAAAATGGGGATTAAAAGAGAGAGATAACATGAAGTGTATAAAATATGCCTCAAACCATGAAAGGCCCTTAATGAAACATGAACAATGGGCCAAAATAAGACCTTTTCTAGCTCTGCAAAATGACCAAAAACAGAAGCACAAGGGGCTGCCGAGTCATGCAAAAAAAGGGGACCAAAGATGAATATAAAGACAAGTGGTATATGGAGATCCCAAACAGTGATGAGCCCTTCTTCAATGTTGAAGAGGGGCTCAAAATAAGCCTAATATCAGTTCATGAGAAGCTCCAAAATAGATCACACATAGGCTAGAAAAAGCATGCAAAATATTGACATACAAAGAGGTATTGAAACAAGTGTGAGATGGGGTTCTCAAATAGGGTTGAACCCTTCAACAAACATGTAGAATACCTCAAAATAGGCCTAGTTTCTGTTAGGGTCGGAGCCTAAAACTCGGAGCCTAAAACAGTAAGCAAGAGGGCTAGAGGAATGGTGCAAAAATGAGCTAGAAAAGAGGGAAAATGGACTCACCCTTGAAGATCAATGCTTTTGTTGCTTCTTGGACCAACTTTGAAGACTCTAAGCTTCTGGAATTCCTCCCCTTGCTGCTGGAATGGAGTGGTGGTGGTAGAGCTCGGTGGTGATGAAGAAAATGAGGTGTAACTTAGGAGTTTTCAAGGAAAATGAGAGAGATGGAGTGAGATAAGTATGTCTATGCCTGAAGCAATTTTTCTAACCCCTTAATGCAAGGCTGCCTGCTGGTTATATGGACAAAAAAGAGGGAGCAAAGGAGGGGCAAAGGTGGGGGAAAATGAGGCAAGTTTTTCCCCACAAAATATCCCCCGGATTGAGATATTTTCTGGGGGAAACAGCTATACAGCTGTAAAGTGTGTATTGCAAGGAACATGGCCGGCCACTTTTTGGAGCTCCAGGTGGCCGGCCGGCCAAGGGTCAAAATGGTCCAGAAGAATTAATGGTCGGCCACTAACTTTTAGGATCCTCCCAGATGTGTACAACACAAGTATGTGGTTGAAAGTTGGCAACAGTGAAACAGGAGTGACAGCAATCCATTTAAAGAGGGGGGTCAAAAAGTGAAAGTGGAATTACTGGCCGGCCTCAAATTTTTAGGGTCCTCCCATGTGTGTACATCACAGATATGTGGTTGAAAGTTCAAGAAAATGGCTCAAGGGTGTTCAACATTAGCCCGGAAGCGAGAAAAAACGGGCGTCAGAGGGCGCCGAAAGAAGATAACTGGTTGTTGAGACAATTGCTGGCCTCCCACCCTTCCATGGCCTTCCTAGTGATGAAACAGAGGTACCTGCCAAAAATGAACAAAAACCGATGCAAAACGAAAGCTCGGGGGCCAAAACACGCAGTTCGGGGTCCCAAAAATTGGCTGTTAAGCACCGAAAGTAGCGTTCGACCACGAAGTGGGTTTCTCAGACCCCAGTGTCCCTCAAAAGGGAGCAAATAAGAAGTATGCCAAAAAAAAGAGTAAACGGAGACGGTTAGGCGGTCCCGAACCGAGGCACACGGCCAACGATCCCGAAAAACCGGGAACCGTGCTCCGAAATGGGCAAAATGGCCTACGGCCAGAAAAAGTAGCGCACGGCCACTGAGAGATGGTCTACGGGACCTCTCCCTCCCCTCAGGAAAAGAAACAGAGAAAACCGAGTCTGGTTCGCAAACCGAGGCAAGGCACAGAAGAGGGTTCGGAAGCCCGGAGGCAGGGCTCGCAGCCGCGACTCTGAGACTTCTGAACAAGCACAACATGCAATATCACCGAGTGCTCAACTGGTGACGTCTGAGTCTTAAGGTTGGTCAAAAATGGAGTGTCTACACCGTGACATCCATAGAGTGGTACAAGGGTTGTTTTGCATTTTCGCCTCTCGAATGCCCTTTTTCGCCAAAGTAAAAGGCGTTTTTTATTCTAACTCTCAATCTACGTGTGTTAATTACATCCGTATGTCCTGACAAGTCCTATTTGTCACGAAGAAGTTGCCCGTGACATCCATAGAGTGGTACAAGGGTTGTTTTGCATTTTTGCCCCCCAAACGCCCTTTTTTCGCCAAAGTTTAAGGCGTTTTTTACTCTAACTCTCAACCTATGTATGCCAATTATATCCCGTCTATCCTAACAGGTCCTATTTGTCACGAGGAAGCTGCCCATGACAACGATAGAGTGGTTCGGGGGTGGTTTTGCATTTTCACCCATTGAATGCCCTTTTTCGACTAAATTTAAGATGTTGTCGACTCTAACTCCCAACCTATGTGTGCCAATTACATCCCGTCTGTCCCAACAGGTCCTATTTGTCAAGAGGAAGCTGCCCATGACAACGATAGAGTGGTTCGGGGTCTTTTTTGCATTTTTGCCCTCTGAATGCATTTTTTTGACTAAGTTTAAAGCATTTTCGACTCTAACTCCCAACCTACATGTGCTAATTACATGCCGTATGTCCCCACAAGTCCAGTTCCATCCCAACCACATCTAATAGTCACTAAGCCAATTCTCCATACTTGGAAGATGTTTAGCATTATTATTTCTGTCAGGGGACATGTTTTTGTATTGGTACTATTTAGATTTACTCATGTCTGAACCTGACTTCAATCTTCAAGTTTATAGATTGTAAAATATGAGGAGCATACTCATAGAGTTAAGCAATTACAATATGATATGTGGAGGGTTATAATGGTTGTGAATTTGTGAATGGGTGTATTGTCAAATAAAGCATATACTTGACTAGAGTATTTTGCCCCCACTAAAATAAAGCATCAATATTGAAAGCCAGTAGAATAGGGGACATAGATGGAAAGATGCATGAAACTTTTTGGTCTCTTAAATCTGTTTGTCTACATTCCCCTTTCTCCAAGGTCCTATACTCCTATTTTTGGCATGGAGTGTAGTTATAATGATTTTCTCCTCCATTCAAATTTAAATAAATGCATTTTAGCTGGCAGCTTAGTCTTAACAGATAAAGCAAGATTCTTTTTTCCAAAAATTGTCATACTGGATGCGCTTATTAGTATTTTAAATTATCAGCAGTTTTGTTCTTCTATCTGGAAGTGGATTTGTAAGTCTATCTTGAAAATCTACGAACTTACGTGAGTCCAGAAATGTTGTACTCCGGCCCAAAACCCTTTAAAATCTACAATTTCAAAGATATTCTGACTTATCATATAACAGCTGCATCAAAGGCAATAACAACCAATAATATCTCTACTAGTTATTTAAGGAATAAGAGCAAACACTCATTTCATCTGAGCAAACATTTGTTGTAGTGAAAAGTTAATTGTCATTTACGACAATTAAATGACATTAATGAAAGAGTTTTTAATGAAAAATATCATTAATATAAAGTTGTAAAAAGAGGAAGAGAGTTTGTTGTAGTGAAAAGTTAATTGTCATCTACGGCATACAAACTCTCTTCCTCTTTCATCTGAGCAAAAAATATGTTTTATACAAGCTGAAAACAAGATAAGCATATTAATATCATTAATATCAATTATAGAGAGGTAAGAAGATAAAAAGAAAAAAGAGAAACAGATGCATCAAAATGAGAGGAAGAGAGAGAGGTAGATAAAAGAGGCAACATTCTATAATAGCAAGCAACTAGATCCATTTGGACCAATGACTTCATGAGAGGAAGAGAGAGGTACATAAAAGAGGATCACTATATCCTTTTGGATTTCATGATTTCAGATCATTCTAAGCAAGATTGTGATGTCAGAAATCATATAAATGATAACAAAGATTAAGGCTCTTAATTATCAGAAGCAAGCACAAGGATATGGGGTTGAAACTCCAGTTTCCCTCTAAACTATAAAATGGTATGGGTATTATTGACAGGTCATTTAGTTATAAGCTTAGTTCATTAATTAGCTTCAGGTAATTATACTACTTTCTAAGCACTTCCAATGTGTTCTCAATTTGCAATGCATTTATTAATATGCATCATTCCCCTTCTAATTTGCCTTAAAAAATCTGCCAGGTAGAGCCTCCCCGTTCTCTCTCTTCTCTCTTATAAATTGGCTTTAACACAATCAGTGGGGAAAAAATTGTTAACTCTTTTTACCTCTTCAAAATTGTAGTGGGTTGACAGCTGACTCACGACCACTTATCCACATCCTAATTGAAATATAACAATAAAAACAGAAAAATTTATACATAAAATGAAGTTTTGACATTTGGGACAGTCTATTACTCCTCTGAATAGAGCATAAAATGCAAATATCAACTTCCGTTGTTGAGGTTTAGTCAACACAGAGGATGTAGATAAAATACCCCACACAGCAAGTGTGGTTAAGCTAAATTTTATCTAGTCAAAGTGTGCTTAGACAAAATAAACTTGTCTGAATCTGAATTGTACGGTTTCTAATCAGATTGGAAAAATCACAAGATCTAATCTGAATAAATGATGGCAAAAAACAATCAACTACAAAAACAAAAACAACAACAACAGAAAACAAACAAACAGCTGATACAAACTTGTAAAGAAACACAGCAAAAGAAATCCAAAGTTAAACTAGTAGAGAGAAAACCCAAGAGTCATACTTGCCCCATTTTGAAGCCAAGACAGTACATTCCAGATAGAACCAAATGGGTTTTGTAAATTTGGGTTGGGGGTGAAAGTGGAGGAAGTAACACAAGTTTAGAAATAAACATCATGGAAACACAAGTACAACAGAATATCAAGTGAATCACTAAGGCCACGTTTGGCAACTCTTAAAAAATCCAAAAAGTCAAAAAGTCACTATCCTATTTAAATCACACCATCTTATTTAAGTTACATCACCTCTCTAACACATCACTTCAAACCCAACCCAAACCCAACCCATATTTCATAAAAAGTCAAAAAGTGCACTTATTTAGTCTTCCCAAACTTGGCCTAAATCTATCAGGTAAATCTGTAAAAACATTAAATATAAAATCCAAATTATTACCCAAAAACGAAACAAATGCAGCTTTTAAACATACAAAAATAAACACATACAAAGAACATTACCTTTTCGTCTTAGCTCTCCAGCCATGAGATGGTTTTACTCAAATCGTCAATAGCCCACTTCTTCACTTTAGAAGGAGAGGGACTCTCTTTAGCTGGATTTGAAGCTCTACTCTGCTTTTCATGTAACATAAGATAGCTATCAGTAGTGATTCTCAACTGTTATTTGATGTAATAGAAAAAGAAAACAAATTATTGTCCATACTAGAAGAGAAAAAATCATGGCAGAATACAAAGCACATATTGATTAAAGGTCACTCAAAAGTTATTGTAGAATGTATGGAAATTCAGCAACAACTTCTTTAACCACTCCTTGTTTGACAAACATTCGAAAGCAACAATCAATCATAGCTCTAATTCGTCTCCATTTCCATTTTAAATTAATCTACAATTCATATAATTTGTTCTATCCTTTTAAAGAAAGACAGAAATAACCAACTGAACATATCAAATTCAAAAGTTCAAAACTAAATTCCATGTGTTAAATCAAAGGTTTACTCTTTCTCTTGCTTTACAATTGAGATTTACAAAAACCCTAATAACTGATGTTGACTTTGTCCTGTTAATTGAGAGCTTCTACGAGAAATATGTAAAAACCCTAATCCAAACCATGACACTTTAGTCAAGAGTTAAAATACAAATTTCACAAAATTTAAGGAGACAATCAAAAACTAACCCAACGTTTCCATGGAGCAGAGTCAGAAAAATCATAACTTTCTGAAGGGTTAATTCATGTTGTTCCTTACAATTCAAAAAATATATATTATTTGCAGATGGGTTTTCATCGTTTCATCAATTTGGCAAGAAAGAAACAAGAATTCGATAATCCATAGCAATTATCTATCAGTTTCACTAAAGTTTTTCAGAATTTTAGTAAACAAAAAAAACAGGGTTAAGAATAAGAAGAGTGAGAAGTTCAAAGTCTGATTGGTAAGAAAGAAAACTAACCTGAAACTTTCTGCGAATCGAGAATTTTGGTAGAGAAACTAAAACGCATATGTATATTATTGTATACACACAGGTGGTCTGCCCTTGGGTCAATATCTCCAACAACCACACGGGCAGTGGGTAGATAGATAAGGACATATATGCTTCAAATGTAGAAAAAGAGTAAGACCCTAAAATGATTTTATCAAAATCCTACAACAAAAATAAAATCAAACCCTAGATCCACGATGGTGAGGGAAGGGAGAGAGAGGGATAGAGAGAAAGAAAAACCTGAATGTGGATGACAGGGGGGGGGGGGGGGGCCGCGATGGTGACCTACAGTAGCGAGAGTCACAATGGCCAGCGGCGGTGGCTGTTGGCAGGGATGGTGAGTCTGTGAGAATAGGAGAAGCAAGTGACTGTAGGCTTTTGGCGCCATTTGTTTTGTTTAGGGTCATGGAGAGGGGATTATGAGGTGGGATCTATTATTTTTGTATTTGTTTTGGGAAAGGGATTTGTAATACTTTTTTGGATTATGAATCTGTTTAGGGGGAATTTGGATCATCCTCCAGTATTTGGTATTAAAAAATAATTTATTGGACTATTTTTTTATTTATTTTTTTATTTTTTATATATTGAGTATTTTTTTTTAATATTAATGTTTAATATTTTTATATTTTTTGTTAAGTAAAAATTATAGTTTTATTTGTTTTATCTTTTCTATTTTTTTATTTTTTTATTTATTTTTTACATGTTGGGCATTTTTTTAAAATATTTAATGTTTAATATTTTTGTATTTTTTTTATTATTTTATATAAAAATAATTTAACAATTCTTACATCAATAACTATCATCAAAACAAACACAATATTACTTAATCTCCTCACTATTAATCTCCTCATTATAATTTTCCTTCATTTTAACTCTGAAAACAAACGGGTTTGTATGTAGTGTAGAGAAATAAAATAATAATAATAAAATAAAACATAATTAGTGAATTGGGGAGAAAATTTGAAAATACACTAAAAAATTTGATATTATTACCGACTAAATATTTCTAGTCATTGAAAATATATATTTAGTGACTGATTTTTTAGTTGTCAAAGATTAAAAGTAATATTCATGTTAGTTTTTTGGCGACTAACTTTCTTTAGTCGGCAAAAATTAAATGTTTTTTGATCACTGAAGATCAATATTTGGCTACTAAATTAAGTAGTAACCAAATATTTAAAGTAAAATTATGGTAGTTTTTTTGTTACTAAATTTATTTTAGTCAGCAAAAATTAGTATACAACAACTAAATATTTTTTGGTCCAAAAATGTATATTTACCAACCAAATTAGGTAGTCGCCAAAGATTTAAAGTGAAATTATGCTAGTTATTTGGCTACTAAATTTAGGCCAAGTTTGGCATGTGACTAAAAAGTCAAAAAGTTACTCAAAAAGTTAAAAAGTTATCACTATTCACCAAAAGTCAAAAAGTACGGTTGCACAATTCCCAATCCTAATTTTCCCCTGCACACTAATTTATACAATTTTTTAATACACATTTTTTCATAAAAAGTCAAAAAGTTAACCCAAACAATCATATTTTTTCTTCAACTTTTTAGTCCAAAAAGTCAAAAAGTGCACTTATTTAGGACATCCCAAACAACCCCTTAATTTAGTCGGCAAAAATTAGTATACTGCGACTAAAACAAACTTTAGTAACCTAAAACCTGAACTAATGCTGACCAATATTTTTAGCTTATTGTGGCACTTTTGGCAACTAAAGTTTTGTTTAGTCACCAATATACATCTACTAAAAAAATTTAGTAGCTAAACCCTGCAACAAATGCCGATCAATGTAATTTTTAGTCGTCTATTATACAACTTTTGGTGACTAAATTCCTTTTAGTCGCCAAATTTGGTCGCCAAAAGTGTAAATTGTTGTACTGAGAATTGCCTAACAAACACTCTTACATTTCATCATCTACACTCTTGAGTTCAAAAACGTGAGGAAGAAAGAGAGTGAGAGATATTGAAGCCAAATTGAGGAGAAGAGAGAATTGAAGAAGAAATCAAGGGAATTAAGCTCCTACCTCTTGAATTCAAGCTTTAGGTCATAATTCTTACAATTACTCCATGTAGGGGTTGAATTCATGAATCATAAAGGAACATTTACATAGAATTGATAAGAAAAGACTTGAATCACTTGAGTTGTTGAATTGAGTAAAATGAACACGGGCATGCATAAATCATCAAGTTTTGAGTTTATTTCTTAAGAATTCTCACATGCATGGTGTTATTTATGCTTAAGTTTTGGGAGTTCCTCATGATTTTGCATCCATTATTTCATTCACTCATGTTTTGAGAAGATAGAAGGCAAAAACATTACATGCATGTATATAATTTGAAGTTCAAAGCATAATTTTGAAGAATTGACATGACTTTGGGCTTTGATTTTGAGAACTGATCTTCAATACTTGATTTTATATAAGATTCCAAGTGTTTTTCCAAGTTTTGGCCCAAATGAAGGAGTTTTGGTGCATTGGAATTGAGTTTTGAACTTGAAACACAAATCTAGAAATTCTAGAGTTCTGCTTCACCGCTTGAGCGAACAAACCTTCGCTCGAGCGCACACTACAACAAAAAAGGTCTATGGTGACGAAAACGCGTGACGAAAAAATATTTAGTCTCCAAATATGCACGTTTTAGTGATGAAAATAAGATTTCGCCTCTAATTATATTATTTTCAGAGACGAAAACCAAATTTCGTCACCAAATGCTTAAAATCAAATAAAACAATAGGTGACGAAAATTTTATTCATCTCTAAATTTTATTTTTCGTCACAAAACAATTTCCTGCCCTTGGAAAATTTGGTGGAAGATTTGACGCCATTTTGGAGACGAAATTTGTCGTCACCATTGTAAAAAAATTTAGAGACGAAATAATTTCGTCTCCAAATGTATTATTTTTAGAGAGGAAAACCAAATTTCGTCACCAAATGCTTGAAATCAATAAAAAATACAAGAAATCTGGGCTATTGTGACAAAATTTGGTGACAAAATTTTTTTTGTCTTAAAATTTAACCCAAAGATGACGAAATATTAATTTTGTCGTTTGTTTTAATTTTCTCAAAAGTATAGGAGACGAAAACAAAATTTCGTGTGCAAAAATGAGGCGCCAATTTCATTTGCATTGGCGCGAATTATTTTAGCTCATTGGAGACAAACATTTTTGTCACAAAATATAATTTTTTTTGTGACGAACGTAATTCGTCGCCAATAAATTCCATACCTATTAAACGATGTCGTTGCATATTTCCATTTATTAGGCGACAAATATATTTTTGTCTGCGAAGGATAAGTTATGGAAGACGAAAATATTTCGTCAGAGGCCGCGAGAGACTTTCAGCTTCTTCCGCCACTTCTTCGACACCATTACCCCCGCGGAGGTATGTTTTACTTGCAGTTCATTTAAGCGTCGCCTTTCCACTGCATATTTCGTCACTCAACTAAATTCTAATTGATTGCGTGACGAATATATTTTTCATCTCATAAGTTAAGTTTGTGAAGACAAAAATATTTCATCACCAATAATAAATTCTTTGTTCTGGTATTGAAGCATACCAAAATATTTTATCACTAATCATTTTTCTTTATTAAAATGCCGTGGTTTTGTGTTTCAAAGCATTGGAACTGTGACCCCAAGAGATACACTCTGATGCTTATCACTCATTTTCATGTACACGGACCTTGAAGTCGTGACCCAATAAAACACTTTCTACAAACCCTCATTTCTCTCTCGCACTTGAGTCTACTCCTCTCTCACAAGTATTGAAGTCGTGACTCAAGAAGACACTCTGTAAACCATTTCTTCTATTTCGCGCTAAAGCCTATCTTTTCTGTCTCACACTTAAGCCCTTCGTGCATGCCAACACTGAAGCTATTATCCAAGAAGGCACCCTATGCAAACCCACTATTCTTTCTCACAGTGAAGGCCCCTCTTGCACGCAAGCAATTTTTCTCATTGTCTGAACCAACTCTACCATTTTCGTTTAGAACACCCATTTCAGAAAAATCGAAGGTCAAAACCTCTCTCCAACAAAAAAAAAAAAAAAGATAATTAATGTAGCTATTTTTTTGTGAGAAAAAATACAGAGAAACAAATAATAAAAAATTTGTAATTTTTAAAATTTGGTGATAAAATTTATTTTAGTTTTAGAATGTAACCCAAACATGACCAAATATTACTTTTGTTGTTTCTTTTAATTGTTTTCAAAACTATAGGAGACGAAAAAATAAATTTGTCAGAAAAAAAAGAGGCACCAATTTTTTTTCTTGTTGGCGCTAATTATTTTAGCTAATTGGAGACGAACATTTTTGTCACAAAATTTAAAGTTTTTTGCGACAAAAGGAATTCGTCACCAATAAATTCCAAACTTATTAGACGATGTCATTTCATTTTTTTTATTTATTTGGTGACAAATATATTTTTTGTTTGGGAAGGATAAGTTATGGAAGACAAAAATATTTCATCACCAATAAACCCTTCATGCTCGTTTTATCTTTCTGTTAATTAGGCGACAAATATATTTTTGTCTCGGAAGGATATGTTTTGGGAGACGAAAATATTTCGTCGTTAATAAATTCTCCATGTGTCGTGTTGCATTTTGATTGATTGTGCGACGAATATATTTTCGTCTCATAAGGTTAAGTTGAAGGAGACGAAAATATTTCATCACCAATTAATTCTCCATCCCCACACAACATTGTTTTTGTATTTTTGTTGATTAGGCAACAAACATATGAGTTTGAGACGAAAATATTTTCTCACTAATTATTTCTCTTTATTAAAATGTCGTCAGAAACTAAGAGACGCTCTTACCTTAATCACTTACTTTCACACACACACAAATACTAAAGTCGTGACCCGAAAAGACACCCTCTACAAATCCTCATTTCTCTCTCGCACTTGAGTCTCCTCTCTCACAAGTATTGAAGTTGTGACTCGAGAAAACAATCTCTATAAACCATCTCTTCTATTTCGCACTGAAGTTTCTCTATTCTCTCTCACATTTAAGCCGTTTGTGCATGCAAACATTGTTATCCAAGAAGACATTTTGTGCAAAGCTACTATTCTTTCTCACAGTAAATCCCTCTCAACAAAAAGAAAAAAATAAAAATAATAATAATAATTAAACAAGGAAACAAAATACAAGAAATTTAGGCTATTGTGACAAAATTTGGTGACTTAAAATTTAACCCAAAGATGACAAAATATTAATTTTTTCGTTTGTTTTAATTTTTCTCAAACGTATAGGAGACGAAAAAATTTCGTCTGCAAAATTCAGGCGCCAATTTCATTTGCATTGGCGCGAATTATTTTAGCTCATTGGAGACGAACATTTTTGTCACAAAATATATATATTTTTTGCGACGAATGTAATTCGTCACCAATAAATTCCCTACCTATTAAACAATGTCGTTG